GAGAGAGAGAGAGAGAGAGAGAGAGAGAGAGGGAGCCCCTATGCATCCATGTCTGAATGTATCTGGCGTTGTCAATGCACCAGATACATTTGGATGCTCCAAAGTTGAATGCACGACCATCGCTCTATGCGTCCAGAATGTCGAAGTGGAGGGACATAACGACACGCACACACACACACACATACAGCAACCAACAAGAAAACGAAAGATGATGTGAACACACACACAGGCACACATACAACACACACACACAGATGACGTGAACACACACACACACACACACACACACACACACACACACACACACACACACGCGTGCGCGTGCACCAGCGATGGCGCCAAGAAGACGCGTGAAGTACCTACCATTTTCGAATTAGAAGTACTGCCGCCACTTCTCAAGGGCATCACAAAAAGATGTGTGCCCCTCGTGAGGGCATTTCAAGGATGGACCGACGAAATGCAACCGGCAGCCCAGTAAGGGCATATCGAAAAGTTACGCCCCGTGCTGACAGGGGCGTGCGGAAAAGTTCAGAGGCCCGAGGGGCATAACAAGGTAAGTCGGCCTTCACAGGGGCACGCCGCAAATAAACGCAAACTTCAGGGGCATTTCGAAAATTTTCCCTTTTTATTATTTTGTTTTTCTCAACGAAAATATGAATCGAGGCCGCGGGGACCTCACAATTGAACCCGGAGTTATCCCGGCAGCATCAGCCGGTTTAGCTTATATAAATCAGTTCCTCAGTTTGAAAAGTACCACAAGCTATCCAGCGGCCTAGCTCAGTTGGTAAGGCACGCAAGTGGCATTCAGGAGGTCGTGGGTTCAATCCCCATCGGCCTCATGTACCTTCCTGGGCATGCTTGGCGCGCGGAACCTAGAGATAGCACGTTGGTCCCCCCAATTCTGCTGATGGTCATAGGGGGAGGGGTAATCGGGGAGGCACAGCGACTGGCCACTCAGATGATGCTCGGTCCCTCTGCCACCGACTGTCCCCTGGCCGGTGTCCCCCATTGGGGGTTCCCTGAAGGCAATCAAGGCCACCCGATGTCAGATTAGACACAATATTGAATTTACCTGGGCTGGTTAGTCCGATGATAATACCTCAAGGTCATCGCTCCTATCTGCTAGTAGATACTTGGTGATACCAATGTTCTCACTCAGATGAAATACAGAAGCCTAGCCTAGACTGAAGGAGCTACTGCGCTGCTCCAGCCAATACCTAAACTACTTACCTAGCCTAACCTACCCACCCGCCTGCCTGCGGACAAGACCTATACAGTCTTGGGGAGCTCCTCCCGACCCCGGCCCGCACTCTCTACAAAGGCTACTGCGCCCCTACTCAAGCGAGTGCATCTGGTAAATAGAGGTTTACTACTCCCTTATCCTCTGACTACTTCCCTATTCTACCCTACCAACCCTCAATGTTCCAACCAAATAGAGAAGACCAGACGACGGGACCGGTGCACTCCTGCCAGTTGGTTGTCCACCGCCCAGGTGTTCAGAAACCACCACAGGGAGTTGCGGCAGGCTTTACCTTTCTTGGCTTTCCTCCACCAATCCACAGCAACCGCCTGTCTCAACCCTCTCTTGACCCCCCCTTGATCTCATTATCTGAGTACGATCGCCTTTCAAACCTCGAGCGGTTGCGGTCCGCCCAGATCACTGAGCATATCACTGCCCTGGCTAACTGGGCCACATACGGCCATCCTCTCAGACCTGTAGCCTCTCCTGAGACAAAACCCAACAGAACCCACTTCTCATTCCACACAATTCCTCTAGCCCCCCTTAGGTGTCAGTGGGTTGCCCACCACTGCCAGACGCGCTTGGACGCCCGACATTCCCACCACAGATGCCGCGTAGATTCAAACGGCCATCTGCAGCGAGTACATCATAAGCTCACCTCCATTCCTCTTTCACATAGCCACACTGTCGAGGGAGTGACCAAGAGAGAGAGCATCCACAAAATACCTGCGTGTTTAACATTTGGCAGGTCCAAGAGCACCCTCCACAACTTTTTGAAATCTTTCTCTGCTCCTTGGAGGTCTTCCAGAAGGACTGACCCCCACCTTGCGATCGCTATCGAGGCTAGTGTCCTATGATGCCTGATTGCTAAGGTGTAGGATTCCCTTGGTGTAAACGCCACCAAGTTAAGTCCTTGAGGGTGCGCTCTGGTTACTCTTCCTTCTGACCAACTGTGACGAACTACTTTCTGCAACTGCGCGATCTTCTGTGCAAGGCTACGTCGGGGGTTGAAACGGGTTGAGTCGGGATGGCCTGATGAATTGCGTGGATGACCTCGCTTTACGCATCCTTGTGCTTTCGCGTCCTTTGGGGAAAAGGGGGGAGAGCTGGCCTGGGTCCGTGACGGTTGGTGGTTGATCTCGCCTTAGCGAGCGCGACAAATAACTATTGTCATAGCTTCTTTCTTGTTCTGTTGTGGGAACGAGGGATTTTTGGCGCGATCGTCGCGCGGGAGAATCTTTTTGAATTTTTAACTGTTGTCGAGCCCCCGTGGGTTCTCGAAAATTTCTTCGCTCGGAGTTTTTTTTTTTTTTTGCAAATACTAAGAATTAGGATTAGGAATTTAGGCACGCCTCAATTTCTGCGACACAACGTTTCTTGCTTGCGCACGCCATACCACGTCAAGATCTGTGCTCTGACTTCTTCGCGCCTTAATCTCGCGTGTAACTGTAATCTTTGCTTTGGAGGGTGCGATTGCAACTGTAATCCTTCTGTTCTTGATATCTTTCAAGTTTGTGGCGTCCCGGTGCGCGCTGTCGCACTTTTTCTTGTCGTGCCACTTTAGGCGACCGGAAAGTCAACAGGCTGTCACGCAGGGTTTTGTATATGATTGCAATAAATAAAATAAATTAAATAATGCAAATCCCTTCTTGTTGTGTGCGTCCGGCTTCGAGCGAGACCCTTCAATTGTGGTCTTCCCCGGTCCCCGGTCTTAGGAATCTTTTATTTTGATTCGGAACAGCAGAGAATCATGCAAATAATAGTCATAAAATTATGGGGTGCTATGCATGCATCAGTCATGTCAATCTAATTTTGAGAGTTGTGACAGAATCATCCACATGAGCAATCATCAAGCAAGAACAATGCAAGAACAATGCAAGAAGACGGACAGACTGACTCAAGTAATGACGAAGCCGAATAGGTGAGGGAAGAATGAGAACTCATAATAGTCACAGAGAGTACATATGGGAGAGAGCATGGCCAGCACCAATCAAGAGTTCTTACTCATCCCTCTGAACTTCACTGTCTCTCACTTTGTTGCCTGTCGATTGGGCTTCTTGTCATGCCTTTGTACTCTCTGAGGTTGTGGCTTCTGAATGTAAAGCCACCTGAAGCCTGCGAGCTCTATGCACTTTCATCCAAGTCTCATGATACGAAAGTCAACCATGGCACAAAACTCCTCCCATAGAGTGGGGAGATATGGCCGAGAGAAAATACCCCTCATGAGATGTGGAAACTCAGAGGGCTCAGTTGCCGCCTCATAATCGATAACAGCCGACGATCTGTATCTCTTGGCCAAGTCCACCAGCCCACCCCAATAAGAACCGTCAGTAAGACAGTAAGGTACAGGAGGTTTGGGATAATCTGTGAAAAGCTTGGGACTAAAACTATAGACCAACTTTGTATTACCCTCAAGTCTCTCAGCTTTCCACTGCACATACCCGGCTGCTGCTGCCCTTACTGCATCAAAATGAGGGTGTGTCTCATTCCCCTTTTTCAGGAAGATCCGTAGGTCACTGACTGTATCTTCAGCGAACTCAGTGAGAGCAATGAAGATAGACAGGTCACGGTCCTCACGCTTGAATCCATCGATTCTGACGTAATTGTAGGGGAAGCTCTCCCTGGTAGCGATCAGGTTGAGGCTGTCAAGGACCGATTGATCAACAATAATGAGCTCGATCTCTCTCATGTGTTCAGATAAATGATTGCTCTCTGACAGAAGAAAAAAGAAGTAACTGAGTTTTACTAGGGAGGTATCCGCTGCTCGAGTGCCTTCCAAATACTGTTCTAGACGCTGCTCTGAATACTGTACTCCGAACGCTGCTTCTGGAAACTGCTTTCCTGCTGTTGTTCCTGACTGTTGTTCCTGATTGTTGTTTGCAGTTTCTGATTACTGTTTCTGATTGCTGATCAAAGACTGGACATTGTTGATTGAGTACCGATTGAGAAAACTGAATGTTGTTCTCAGTATCATCTGGAATGCTGATTGAATGTTGTCCGACTGTTGTTTGGACGTTGTCTGAATGTTGATTAAGTAAAAGACTGACTGACAACTAGATAAGGATTGAATAGTGACTGAGTAGCGATGGAATAATGATTAGACGTAGTTTCGAGCTATGAATACCGTTTAAGACGTTGTTCTGTATTCTGAGTATTGCCAGAATGTTTATCTAGATATTACCAAAATGTTTGTCCCCGAACTGTGATTCACCGTATCACCGTGCTAAAAAGGTGAGGGCGCGACTTGTTGCCGTTCAAGGCTAACAGAGTTCAAATAGTGGCGATTAGAGCACTGCAGAACTCACCCAAACTTTGCTCTTGCCTTTTCCACTGTCTCTAAAGAGGAGCTGGCACTGTGTAACCTACCATTGTCTCCATAGAAGTAGATTACATATTCAATGTATTTTTTTCCCTTTACCCTCTGAACAGCGTGCTCGCGTTGAACCTTTCTATGTATCTTTATGTCTTGGCATGCTTTTCTCTCCCACCCATCTTTTTTATCCCTGTTCAGTTCACTTTTCACCACCAGGACTTCGTCCTCCCTCATGACTGATACACTGACTATGCCACAAGGTTGTCGGATAGACTCTAACAAGGTTAGAGTCTAACAAGGTTAGAGATGTCTGTCGAGTCAGCACCTGATCACTCACTGTCTGAACTGCCTACAGTATAATACTTGTCTTCACCAATTCTGAGAGTAAGAAAGTTGGGGCCGTACTGAGTCCTCCAATTCTACCCAGGGTTATTTGAGCCTGCGTTGAGGCTGCTTGGGTCTGTTTTGGGGTTTGCCAAAGCCTGGTTCACGTTGCCTGTGTCTATGCCCTTCTGAACTGGAGGTTACCATTGATTCACCGGGTATAGGAGCAGGACTGTGAAAGTTTCTGCCATAGACAGCCCCTTGGTTCAGTCCCTCAGTTCAAGGTTTTGAGGCCAGCTCAGTTGGCCCTGGAACTGCATCAACTATCCGGACACAAGTTCATCTTTCTTTTTTTTTCTTTGCCAATTAGCATCAGGCGCTTCCACCCTGATATGCCTAGGTGCAAACTGTGACTCTGGTCACCCACCGAATGCTACTGATATGTTCCCTTCTTCCGGCCAGAACCTGTTTGCACTTACTCACAACAGATTCACTGCAGCACGTCTCTGTACTGCCAAAGAGCTCACGTGGATTGATGGGTCAGGCGGACGAACATCTCTCATTTAAATGATCTAGGACTCGTAAGTTGTCCACTCTCGAACGAACAGCTTTCCTTGCCGAAGGGCTAGATGAGCCCATTTGCTGATGGTTCCAATACCCCAAATAATAAGGCTTGGGATACCCTCGGTGAAGGTCTGTTCTACCCCTCACACATGACTGCACAGATAGATTCTCTCAGTTCTGCGATACGCGAAATCAATTAACTCACATTCAACACATGACCTGGCTTTAGTTAGTGATGGATACTTGTGCAACAGGCTCGGACGATACCATACAGTCCATTATGCGTGGAGAGGATGCAGAAGCAAAGCCAGCGGGAGTCTCTTTCGCACAGGTAGTGCAACGATGAGTCTCATTCAGACCCTACACAGTATCTTTTGTCATTGATACGGGTGAAACCAGGTCTGAGTTATCTGGGGATCTTGCCTAATGTCGGGCTAATTGCAAGCCCATCCCAGGGAATGCGCCCAAAGGCTCCCAATCAACAGGCCTCACTCAATTAGTCCTCTAAGTACTGCTACCCTGATAACACAACAATTTCAAATGATCGCTCACCAGACTCACACTGCAGCTCTAAAGCCTTCTGCATTCACACACTCTCAATTAAAGAAAAGAAAAAGAAAAATAACAACTATGGCCCGATTCCATAAAAAACATCGCAATACATCACAGCAACTTGTAGGATTTTGTCTTGTTCATACTCATAATCTAAAGTCTGACCTCCAAAAAAAAACACTTATGTTTCCGACCGCTTACTCATCGTTCATTACTTGTGTGAACCAACTAAAATAGAATGCAGATAACTAGTCTCCATTGAGTAGATACTTAGCCAGTAGGTAAGAGACCTTCCTCAAGACTAGTTTTCTCTTGTTCATTAATCAAGGCTCGGAACTAGACTATCATCAAATAAAGAAAAGCAATAGGGGTGTCACGATACATAACTGACTCAGTCTGTGCGATTAAGAGAGGTGATACGGAAGCCTTTCGGTCAGGGCCGTAACAGGACACATACCTGTGTCGAGCGACTGACCAAAGAAGAAAAAAATACCTTTGCTAAGAGTGAAAAATGGAAAAGTCAGGACCTAAAATAAACTAGTCCCTTGCAGTACAAAATCGTTTAACTTTCCCAGAGCACTACCCGCTCGCCGTACTAACAGCCCTGTCAAGATTACACAGGACGACAACAATTAGACTTTTATTAAGACTATGTCAAACTTGACCGTTAAGTAGCCATTTCTCCTAAGCAACGAGACCTTTCGACACCCAAGCATACTTAGCTGTGGCTCAGTTCAGTCCTTTCAATCTCACCACTATTAATCCCGTCGAGGGTGATTGGCCTTTGCGTGTAAAGTTCGAGCTCACGCCCTCAGCCTATCAGATGTCAGATCTCATTGGGCCAAACACTGATCACCCGGCTCACCAAATAACAGTCAGTGCTCATCACTCTCATCCTTCAGAACGGAAGCACAAAACTCGGCTCATCGCCCCGTCCCACTTCGAAGGAGTAAAAAGTAAGAGGCTCGCGTAAGTCACGGTTCCCGAACTTCGTACAAATCCGCCCAAAAAAACACCGTTGTCAACTGGAGAGAACTCGAACAATAAACCCGTTTGAAAGCCCGGCTCCGTCTTCCAGCACTCAGAATATACGCTTTCCCCGTGACTTTTCTTCGGGATGCCACAGACAAGCTCGTGAACATGAAAGGTAGTAGGATCGACAGCCGCAAAAGAAAAACAGGGAGGAAGCTCGTTGCATTAAGAAAGAAAAATTGGGTAATCTATCATGCACCCGTCCTGATGTCCACGTATGCCAAGGTCAAACTTACATCAACTTTCTTCAAGCATGCATGCTCATCACGCACGTATCTTGCGCACATGCCTCTCGCACACACCAGTCCTTCCCTCCCTTCTAATCTAAGCCCTCTTCACGCGCTCTCGCACGTGCCCCTCTCTCAGTCTTGACTCTTAGCCCATTGTCAGTGATGACGTCATCTAGGGCAGCGTCTGTAATCCACCCCTGCCAAGCAAGCTAGCCCGCTGTACCTCTTTGCAGGCACATAGCGTGAGCTCATCCCGAGCAATCTGCCTCGTACTTATCCGTCTCTCCCGTGGCTCGCCCACACGCACTGGCTCTTTCGCGCCTCTCTTTCTCTATTCAGAAGCTTCGTACTTTCACCATCCCTGGCTGGCTTCCCGGCCAATTCTCGACAGCCTCCGAGTGTCAGCAGAGACAGCAATTCACGCCTAGCTGCCCTTCACAGACTCGCGTCTCACTCATCTGCCAACTCTCTCTGTTCATTAACCTCATCTCCCTCTCTCAAAAACCCCCATGCCGTTCTCTTCTCAGCTCCATGGGGTCTAAGTGAGATGTCGTGCAGGCTCGCACGGAACGGTTGGCACCTGTTGCGCTCCACAAGCTCGTCCCCCTCTGCTCACACTCCCACACCCCTTTTCGTTCGTTGACCTTCCTTCATACGCACACCTGGCCCCGCTCTCGAGCACGACCTTCGTAACCACTTCGCCGCATTGCCCCCCTTTTTTCGACCCTGCTGTCTGCCTCTCTCTCTACACGTGTCTTTTTCCTCTTTTTTGCTCCTCACCTGTCCCGCGGCCTCTGGGCGTCAGCCGTCGAGAGCTGGCCTCGGGTCCCTCTTCCACCGGCTTCGCGGCTCGGTGATGCCTCTGGACCTCGCCTGGCCTATTCCAGGACCTGAGGTCCGTCTCCCGGTCCCCCGCTTCGCTCATTTCACTCTCACCACCCGAGTTTCTGTCCACGTGGGCTTGTTCCAGGTCCGTTGTATCCATTGAGGTTTCGGTCTCATGATACGAGACCGTTACCTGCAACCTTGCAGTCACTCCATCCCTCCTGCAACGCCTCTCCGCACGGTCTTTCGCCTCTGTGATCGCATCCTGCAGTTTTCCATAAGTCCTCATCTCCACCTCTTTAGCCCTTTCAACATTAGTCTTCATCCTCACTTCATCACCCCCATCGTAGTTGAGCATGACAGTGATCCAGGGCCCTTCCCCAGACATGGGTTTCCACCAGGCCTGGTGATACCAATAACCAGGCCTATAGCCGTGCAGCGCCATAGTCGCTCTCAGAATAGACAGAGTCTTGGCCCTAGGCGCAAGCAATCGACACCCGCTGAACCCCTGCTACTCCGTCCCCTTCACCCCGGTTGATTGACACTGGAATCAGCAAAGGGGCTCGTGCGTTGACGTCGCAAAGCATTCAGCCAGCACCCTCTTGATCAGCCACTGGATAGCCAAGCCTCGGCCCTCTTCCCCCTTTTTATACGATCCACTGTATGCCGTGACCCCAACATTCTAAATGAGGTACCCTATGAGACTCCGCTCATCAGTAACCTGGCCATATAATTAAATAAAAGGAATAAAACAACAAAATAGAAACGAATCAAAATAAAAATAGCGAAGTCCCAACAACCACCGGCGACGGCAGACTTTCTGCTATCGGCCACCGTCGCTTCGCCTCGCCGCGAAGTGACTACAACCCTGAAGCGGTGGTCCCATAACGGGATACCAGCCTGCGTACTTCCACTTCCAAAACCCGCCATCGACCCGTTACTGCTGGGTACCCGTGTCCGATGGCAAGGAGGGGGGTTATGCCTCTATAGGGGGTGATATTCCTCCTACGAATGTGGCCGCGGGTGCTCCTCTTTTGAGGTCCCATAGCGCGACACTCAGCAGAACAGGCTCGATGCATGTTGTATATGAGGGATCGGCCCACTCAGGCCGCACAACATAGCTCAAGCCCTGATTTCCAACCGTTGGCTTTCCTACGAAATGGCAGGCTGAAAGGTAAACCGAATCTGACAATCGAACGAAAAGGGAAACTAAATAATAATATCAATAAACTATAACAATAATAATAATAATAAATGCAGAAAGGAATGGATGGCGTTTCAAAATCTCTCCGCGCAGCAGCCTCGACCGAACAGCACCCTGCGTTCACGCACAAATCTAAAACCCAACTTTCGCCCTCATCCCTTTTCTTTTCTTTTTCACACACCCACGTTTCTAGACCCCACTGTATCTGTCCTCTAACGCAGCTACAGGGGTCCTACCGTGCAGAGCTTAGATGAGCAGACCCGATATAGGTGATATACGAAGGGTTGGGCCTGCCTAGGCCACAACACCACCGCCTGAACTTGAAACTCGAACAGTCGGCCTCCCTACGAAGTGACGGGACCCAAGAAAAGGGAAATCCTTGCCTGGAAACTGGTAAGTCAGTAATAATAATTGTAATAACAATAATAATAGTAATAATAAAGTAAAGAGAAAAACTCAATGGTATATTGACCCGATATCACTAGATTATCCCAGATTAAAGCAAGGGTCATGATCTAAGTGTCGTTCCGACGCTCAACTTTTCTTTTTACCCCTACACATTTTATTTTCTTTTATCCCTTTATCAACCTTTTTCTTTTTGACAGTGACCTGTCCCGTGTGCCTATCCCATAACCCTGTACAGGGGCGCTTGGCGCGCAGTTGAAAAGACTGAGCCAGTCTTCTCACCTCCGCGTCCCAGGGCGAACCCGATGGTTACCACGGCCTTAGGCCGGTTGTGCTCTGCTGTACAGCAGGGCGTCGAGCCTACGTGGACCAATGGAAGTCCTGTGGCGCACCCCTTTTGTCAAGGGCACAGCCACCAGGACTGGTCTGAGCCGAAGCACGGCGTGGGCACTAACGGCAACGGAAACCCAAGACACGTCTACAGGCTGAGGCACCGACGCGAGGGACTGTACCAAGCAGGGACTTGGTACACGGAGGAGGGCCGGGACACCGCGCCCTCTGACAGCGCGTGCTTCTTCCTCTGTCCTAATTGGCCGGAACGCTTGCATGACTGGATCGATGTATGGAGTGAGGCTATGTCCCTCACGCCTCGGTCTGGACATGCAGTCGTAGGCACTCCCTTCCTCCGTCTTCCCCGCACTCAGACACAATCCCGGGTATCGCGCACTCACGCATGCATGCTATAAATTTTGCAAGCGCGATTAATTTTCTCTTTAAGACTTCTGGAAGTTAGTGCGGTCGAGCGGATCGACTAACGAGTGAAATTTGGAAGGTGAGTAGAGAGTTGGGCGATCCGACAAGTTGGTGCTGGGCATGCGGGGTTGACGTGGGGGCCGCGACGGACTGCGGCACATGGGCGAACTCAGCTGGCATGCTCGGACTAAGCGGGGTGACAACTCTCTGTAGGTGAGACGCGACGGACTGCCCGCATCGGGGTGATGTGTGTGTGTGTGTGTGTGTGTGTGTGTGTGTGTGTGTGTGTGTGTGTGTGTGTG